ACAGGGAACAAGGCACCAGGGAGACCGGAAGAGCCAATGCCAGATTACAGTGAGCTTTGTAGGCTGGAGAGGGGCTTTGTTTTATTCTCTGGTCACTGGGTTTTCATCATGGAAATGATACGATTTACTGACATTTCAAAGAGCGTTCTAAGGCTGAGGCAGGAAGGTCATGAGGTCCAGGGTAGCCTGGACTACAAAGTGAGATGCTGAAAAACCAAATAAAACTAAACCAACCAAGACGAATCACTCTATGAGGAAAAACAAATAGAGAACTGTCAAAGTGACTTAATGAGCAAAGATGTTTTTGTTTTGTCTTGTTTTGCTTTGCTTTTTTGCTTTTTCCCTAGCCCAAGGACCAGAGTTAGATCCTCAGAACCCATCTGGTGGGAAGAGACTCCTGAAAGTTGTACTTTGACTTCCCTCTAAGCCATGGCACTCGCGCGTGGGAAAAGAGTATAAAGCTACTTAGCAAAATAGTTATCAAATCAAGTCTCCCAATTTATAAAAAAAAAAATGATAACACATTATGACTGGGTCAATCAGTTGTCCATTACTGTGTCAGAACACGAAGGAAAACAAAGGGGGAAAGGGGGAAAGGTGGGCTTGGGTTTAGAGTTCCAGAGCTCTTGTTTAGTCCACGGGTTGGAGGCTGTGGAACTCTGGGCAGGCAGTGTGTAACGAAGGAACTTCTTACCTCACAGCAAACAGCAAAGAGCGCCACAGAGGAAAAGACTCCATCCAAGGGTTCATCCTCGAGGATCCAATTCCTTCAACTAAGTCCCACTTCCTAAACATCTGCGGTGGTGAATTTTACATCCATTGAATTTTACGTGCAGTTTTTTTTTTTTTAAAGAACTTGACAAACCTAGGTCATTTGGGAAGAGGGGACCTAAACTGAGAAAATGTCCTACCAGATCGGCATGAGATGCATTGCTTTGACTGATGGTTGATGTGGGAGGACCGAGCTCTCCCTGGGTGCTGCTTGCCTGGTAGTCCTATAAAAAAGCTGGTTAAGCAAGCCACGGGGGAGCAAACCAGTAAACAGCACTGTTCTCTGGCCTCTGCATCAGTTCCTGCCTCCAGGTTCTTGCCTCGAGTTCCTTCCCTGTCTCCCCTCAGTGGATGCAAATGATCCAAGGGCTCTAATCTGAAATAAACCTTTTCCTCCCCAGGTTGCTTTTGGTCATGGTGTATTATAGCAATGGAAACCTTAAGGAAGACAGAGTCTGTCATCTCTAGGAGCCTGTCAAATTATGAATTATCCATGGATGAATTCATTGATAAAGTCAGAGCTCTGGATCCCATCTTCCTAAACTCATGGTCACTGGGGACATTTATAGAGCCAAACCAAAATGACTAAGTGGAGTTTATTCTAGGAGTGCAAAGTTTAGCATTTAAAAAGCCAACTAATTTAATTTACCACATTGACAGAATCAAGGGTAAAACCCAAAGATCAGCTCAATAGATGGAGAAAAAAAAGCATCAAGAGAATATTGAGCTGATAAAGTCAATGCCCACTCATGATCAGAAAAAACAAAAATGTTCTCAGCATGCTTGAGGAATAGAAGGGAACTTCCTCAAGCATGGTGAAGGACATCTATGAAAATACTTCATTCCCTACTATCTACTGGAAGAATGAATGCCTTTCTCTTCTTCAGCATCAAGGCAAAGATGCTTGGTCTCCTTATTTCTATTCAGCATTTTACTAAAAGTCCTTGACAGTACAATAAGGCAAGAAAAGGAAACAAAGATGCAAAGACTAGAAAAGAAAAAGTGAAACTGTTTTCATATGTAACTATTTATGTAGAAAATCACAGAGTCCTCAAAAAATTACCTGAACTAAGAAGGGAATTTAACATGTTGCAGGATCTAAAGTCGATATAAAATATAAAATCTAACTATCTGGAGCTGGAGAGATGGCTCAACTCTTAAGTGTTTGCTGCTCTCCCAGAGGACTGGGGTCCTTTTCCCAGCACCCACATGGCAGTTCAAAACTGCTGGCCCCAGGGGATCTGACACCCTCTTCTGGCCTTTCCAAGTACTTGAATGTATGTGTGACTACTCACACATGAACACACACTCACACGTAGCAGGAACTTTTATTTACCTGTTTCAATTGGTGTCTTGGAGGCTTTTCTGCCTCTGTCAGTTAACCTAGACCTAGTTCTGGAAGCTTCTAGCCTCCATACAATCTAACCTAGAATGTTTTCAGCCTCTGAGACTTACTGCTGAACGAGCTTACTCTTGTTCTTCCTGAGCTCTGTGATGGCTGGTTTAATTTAGCTGTTCTGGCTCAACCTCCTCTCCCAGCTGACTTATTCAGCCTGGCTTCTCTCTCAGCTTCTGAATTACTCTGCTTGGCCTCCAACTAACTCAAGCAATCTGCTCTAATCTCTTAGCTCCTTCTCATTTTCTGGCTCATTCCTTCTTCACCTGTGTCTTTTTTCTGCAACCTGTCTCTCTATTATTGTCCTAGTAAAAACTGCCTTCTCCGGCTGGAGAGCTGGCTCAAAGATTAGGAGCACTGATTGTTCTTCCAAAGGTCCTGAGTTCAACTCCCAGCAACCACATGGTGGCTCACAACCATCTATAATGAGATCTGGTGCAGGTGTACACGCAGGCAGAAGAATGTATACATATTGAATAAATAAATATTTAAAAAAAACTGCCTTCTCTCTCTCATTGCCCCTTAAGTACGTCCCTTTCCTCTGACTTCTCAGGAGAGCTGGGCATGTTCAATTCTGTCAACTCTTTCTCTGATTCATCACTGTTTCTCACACTCAATTAGATATCACTCTCAAACATGGGCGCTTCTTTCTACAAACTAATTTTACCTTCATTGTTTGGGATTAAAGGCGAGTACCACCATGCCTGGACCTAAGCCTTTCTTTACTTGAAACTTGCTCTATACCAGGCTGGCTTTGAACTCAGAACTGCTTGCCTCTGTATCCTGAATTAAAGGCTTGTTTGTATTCCAGCCAGACCACACAGACCTAGAAGGTCTTTAGATGTGATCTCTTGCCAGAACAGCCATGTTCTGAATTAACATTCCTCCACACATACACATAAACAAATAAATAAAAATTTCCATTTTTTTATTATTTCCACCCAACCCCTCATATCTGCCCTTTTGCAACCTCCTTTTGCAACACACACACACACACACACACACACACACACACACACACACACACACACA